CTTTTTGTTCTGTACATCAAATTTATAAAATAAGCACAGTAAGTGATTAGCAATAACTAATAGAATAGTTATATAATTACTATGATAGTTAAAACGTATAAATTATTTATTTCTATAATTTTGTTTGTAACATTTTTGGGTCACTGTTGACTATAAGTAACTGAAACTGCAGAGAACAAAACTATAGGTAGGAAGGGCCTGGGATTTAGCTCAGTGGTGGTGCTGCCTGCCTCGCAAGCGCAAGGACCCAAGTTCAATCCCCGGTACCAAAAAAATAAATAAAGAAAGATCAAACGAAACTATAGATAGGAGACTATGATACCACTAAACCACCTTCCCTTTAGCCACATCTAGTACTTGTAAGAATGTTTTTTTTTGGGGGGGTAGTGGTTTGAGACAGTTTTGTAACTCAAGACTTTGTTCATAAGTTGAAACTAGAATTCTGGTCATAGCCCAATTGTTTGTATGTCAGGCTGGTCATAACCTGAGGGTCCATTGTACGTGAAGAAATGTTTTTCAGCATCATCCTTATTTCTTAAAGCCCATATGTTTCTACTGTGGAAGATATAGCTGCATTTAAGTCATTTTTCTAGGATATCAGGAGTTAGCAGATGGAGCTTGTGGCTTTTTTACCCTCTGTATGTGGTGGTGATGATGGGAATCATGGAGGCCATGTACTTGTATGTTAGAAAGGTGGGGAAATGAATATAAGCTTAGATTAAATTACCAGTTACTTTTCATTGGCTCCCCGAATGCACCTTTCTGATTATTGTTTCATAGGTGAGGATTCTGAAACTTAGGGTTTCAGTAGTGAGAGAGAGAGCAGAGAACAGAATCAAAGTCTCTGGATACCCAGCCTTGACATTCAAAGATCTCTGAGACCAAGCAGTAATACAGAGATTTGAAGGATGATTTGTTCCTTCTGGTTCTCCTGTTGTTTTGCACTTAGTTTCATTTTTAAAAAATTTTAAATTTTAATGACCTACCTCATAAGATTATGATATTGAAAACTGTGATCGTAGAGGACTTAAGTACCAAAATACTAAATAAAAAGTGTGTCAGTCACAGGAAAAAAAAGCCAACTTTGCTTTAGTACTTTAATTTTTGTTTAGGGAGAATTCAGATTAGACAGAAATGACAGAGCAACTTGGAATTTGGTTTAAGAATGCATAGCAGTGTAACTATTATTCATGTTTCCCTGGAATTGTTTACATTTGCCACTAGAACGATCCCTACTAACTTCAGAGGAGTTGTGTTGATGGAGTAGGAAGCAAGAGAGGCATGTGATTAAAAATCTTGGCAATTTTGAATTATAGTGCTTTTTGCAAGTGTCGTATTTTCCTGGCACCTTTTCTACATGGACCAGCAGCACACAACACGGCACACCTTTCTTCTCTGTACCAAACCCTCTTTTGCGCTTTGGGGGGCCATCAGGTGGCAGCGTCCAGAACGGAAGCTCCTCCTGCCTCACCACTTCCTTTTCTGCCAAGCCCTAGTGTGAGTCATTATTGTGCTTTCTTATTTGAGGAAATGAGGCTGCTTCGGATTAAGAATTACGAAGAAGAGAGGAACTGACAATAATGAGGTCAGCGGTGTGTCCGACAGTCAGTCCTTAAACAGCCATTGTATTTAGTGTCTTTTTAAGCCATCCTTCTTAGGGAGGGAACTAGAAATTCAAGACTTTCTTTACTGGAAGAAGCTTTGGTGTAGTCTTTCCAGCTCTCAGGTGGCAGCAATTGTTTCCCCGACTGAGGGATCTAATGCTAATTGAACAATCTTTAAAGCCAAGGAACCCTGAATGTGCATCTGGTACATCTAAGGTAGTATGGCCTGCGCGGGGCATAACTGGGAATCTCTGTCTCTGAGAGTTGGCAGAATCCTTTAGGAAGCAGGATGTTTGCACGACTTAACGGCGTGATGGAGGCCAGATGTGTGGCTGGCTCTGGATTATGTCTGGGGTGTTGTGGAGCAAAACTGGGAGTTAGGCTTTCAAGGGAACGAAGAGCTTAGCAGGTCGGGAAGATGTGTGGGACCTGGAGAATGAGTGCATGGAGCTTAGTGGAAAGCGTAAGGGGTCTGGGGTGTCTGAGCAGGACAGTTCTGCTTAGGAAATAGAGGAAAAGGAGAGGTTTAAGATTTAGATTGAGAAGAGCTTGGAGGAGAGTTTAGCTACATTTCAGTGAAATAAGAGGGTAAAATAGTTCACTGGTGAATTGATTTTTAGCTGGGTCACTGAGGCAGTTTTAGTGCTTTCTTCCCCAAAACTGTAAGATATGTTAATTAAAGAGTTTTAGAAGAGTGGGTCTTCAGAGTTTCTTCTGTTCTTCACAATTGATGATTCTGTGAAGTTAGTACTATTCTAGAAGGAACATAATTTACAAGGAGACTTTGGTTACATTTAATGATATTAATTCCAGAGGAAACAGCTAGCTTAGAAATTTTAGTAGTAACTTAAGGTCGAATAAAGGGTAATAACCAGACTTCTATGATATGGGTGAGAGAAAGAAAATGAAATAAAAGTAGGTTTAAGTTTGTAGCTCTTAAACATGTTCTGAGATCCAGAGTACCAGCCAGAGCTAGGTAGCGAATGCTACCTTTGTAGCAGCCAAGACAGTTTATTTTGACATAAATAACAGATACTCCCACCACTTAGTCTTCAGAAAAATGTTCTTCTGTGAGTACAACTTGGACTTCTTTCTACAGTATCTCCTTAGCCAATGGAGTCTCAAATACCAAACAGTTACTTTTTTGTAACGTCCCTCAACCTCCATAGGTAGCGTAATTACGAAAGTGCAATTCACTACGAACAAACTTGCTGAAACCTTGCGGTCCCTGTAGGCAGTTCTCTAAAGTGCTAGCTTAATCCAAGAGTAAAGCATAATAAAATGTAAGACGAGCCAAGTGCGGCGGCACACTACTGACTTCCCAGCTGGGGCTGCACAGTGAGTTCAGCCAGCTTGGAATACACAGCAAGACTCTATCTCAAACCCCACTCTCCCCCACAGAAAGCATAGAGCAGTAATTCTTGACCATTAATTCTCTTTTGGGATCACAAACTTCTCTGGGAAATGGAAATTAGGTCTAGATACCCTTCCTTACCAGCGCGTACTCACACCAAATTTTACATGTTATTTTAGGAAATTCAGAATTTTAAAGGAGCCATGACTTCTCTTCTTGGCCCTTGCCCCCGACTCACCCATAAGCTAAGCACCATTGTCCTGAGTGGCAGGAGGCTCTAGTGAGTGGATGGTGAGAATGAGCAGCACAGGATAATTGTGTTGATAGAAAGCGTTCATCTGCTTTAACAGGAAGTCATCTCGAGGACGAATTAATGTCTGTGATGGTTGATGAGCGTGGCAGGACATGTCTGGACACAAGATGTTTACTCCATGTCATCAGGACTGTGGTCAGGAATGTGATTTTTGTAAAGATAACTAGTATACGAAAAGGGCCTGGATTATTAAATCTCTGTCTTACAGAAGACGCTATGGTAATTTTAGTCTGCAGAAATTGTAATGTTAGGGAAGGAATTGGCAAGTGACCCACAGAGAGGCAGCAGAAGGGAAGTAAAATAAAGTTTACTCCATTGATGAGGATCAATGACACCTAATGGCAGTGCCCTGATTCTCCATTGGGTTACAACTCCTTCTTTTATAGGGTTTTACAGCCTTGATCTCATGCAGGTGGTTACATTGCATTTTCACAGTTCATATTGCTGATATTCAAAACATGGTGTGGAGAGGCAGCTGAATTTCAACCCAGATGCTGTTCTTTGTTAAGGGAGGTTACCTTAAGAGTTATCCATTCTAGCCAAGGGGAAGGGAGCCTGTTTAGTCAACAAAGCTAACAGTGGTTCTTTTCACTTACAAAACTTTAGGGAGACTAGATGCCTCTGGTGCAGGTTATTTCTGAACTAAATAGCGAAGGGCAAAGTTATCTTACATTGTGACAATTTCCTAAGTTTTCGCTATTAAAGTTTTCCCTGTCAGTAAGACAAATGTTACAAAGTGTCCTGAGCTACTTAAAAAAGGAGAAATTATTATTATTGATTATATATTCTTGGTAAAGAGTTGTTGCGAGCAGGCGTGTGCACTAACTGGAGGTCAGGACCATAGTAGTTGCCAACTAGATTTTTATATATTTTATATATGTCACACATCAAACATGTTCATTCATACCCGCCAGTTGCCACTCCCTGTACCTGCACAAGCCCGAGCAGCGTGACTTTGTTTCTCCTTTCCTGGTGATTGCAGTTGTCGATCCGGTTGTGTACTCCTTGATCCAGGGGTCCACACCGGGCAGGCGTCCAATGTCTCGACCGAGGTCTCCTCCAAGATCTCGTCTGGCAGGTTGCCGTTGAACTGGATCGGTCACCAAGTGGGATGAGCTGGTCTTCTGTGCTCTCTCTTTTATACCATTTTAACTGGGGTCTGTGGCACTGGTTTGGGTTTTATCACTTCACACATATTGGGGCTGTTTGAGTAGATATTGGGGTTCCACACATTGAATTTAGGTAACAGGGTTACGCGCATCTTAGGGTGATCTGCTGGGTTAGATATCACTCTCAGTCTTGGGGGGTCACATAGCAGGTTTCCCACATTGTCACTCTTGGTGGCTTTCACTCTCCACTCTTGGGAACACACTGACACTGTACTCTGGGAGGCATTATGTTCTCTGCATCCTTTACATTGACGTGCTCTCTACAAGAATTCATTTACTGTCTAATTTTAAGTACTTATAACTTCTTCGATAGTTTTTTTTTTTTTTTTTTTTTACCAGGGATCCAACTCAGGTCCTTGCGCAGACAGGCAGTGGAACCTCTGAGCTAAATCCCAGCCCCACTTAACAGTTTTTTAATGAACTTAAAGTCCTATGTAGGTTGATCTTGGGAAGCAGAATGACTTTGCTTTAGGAACTGTCACTGAGTCGGTTACATGTCGAAAACATTTATCTACTTACATCTCCTTAAGATTCTCATTATGGTTTCTTTTGCATTGCAGAGTTTTAATCTTGGGCGCTTCTGGCGGGGTCGGTACTTTTGCAATACAGGTAAAAAAATTTTTTTTAACCTTGTAAATAGGAAGATCTTTTTTTTACATTGTTACATTCACATTTATAAATTACTTTTTCTTAAAATCCAAGAGAAAGGTGGTTCTCATAAATTCATAGTAAGTTCAGATTGCTCTTGCCAGAGTAACATGTTCTAATGTAGAAGGAAGTGTTCACCTTTCTAGTGGTTTAACATGTGAATGTTTTGTATAGTAAATGTCAGGGAGCTTTTAGGAAGACCATGGGCAGTACAGAAGATGGAGATTTGCGGTATAATAGGAAATAGTGCCAATCAAAGTTACTGTAGATCTTTTTATGGACATAGATAAGGTTATTCTAAATGATATGTAGAAATGCTGTAGCCAAATACTGTTAAGATGGCATTATTCTCTGAGAGTAATTTATACATTCAGTGCAATACCAATCAAAATACCAGTTGCCTTTTTCTGTGTAAGTAGACAAGCTAACCCTGAAACACATAGGGAATTGCAAAGGACCCTGAATAGCCAGAAAGTCTCTTCCTGGTATGGACACTGGTGAGCCTCTGCCATATCCTTTTCCTAGACGGAGGGCTTGGGTGCTGTGCTTTTAGGACCCAGAGAGTGATTGGCACTTCCCAGGCCTCTACTAATCCAACTTGAAAAGAGGGGGAAGAACTCCCTTGAGGGGTACATCTTTACTCTTTCTTTCATTTGTTTGTTCTTTTCTTTTTCCTTTTCCTTTCCTTTTCTTTTTTCTTTCCTTTCCTTTCCTTTTTTCTTTCTTAGATAGATATCCAAGATTCAGTCCAGACACTCTCAATAAACATTTTCAATGAATAAATAAAAGAAAAAAAACAGAAGAGAAAGATCGTATTTACTGGTTAAAGTAAAAATTGCTAACATGTAGAAAATGACTTGGTACCATCTACTAATATTGGAAACCCGTGCAATGGATCCCGATCTGCTCAGTGCTATGATGTATGGTGAGAAGAAAAAGTTAAGCTACAGAATTAAAGAGATAGCCAGGCATGATGGCACACACCTGTAATCCCAGCACTCGGGAGGCTGAGGCAGGAGGATCGTTGTGAATTTGAGATCAGCCTAGGCTACATAGTGAGTTCCAGGACAGCCTCAACTACATAGTGAGACTCTGTCTCACCCAAAAAAAAAAAAAAAAAAAAAAAGAATTAAAGATACAGAGACGAGGAACTGGGATGACCAGTGCTTGAGCAAGCAAAGACTTGAGCAAGCAAAGATCCTAAACATCCAGAACCATCAATATTTATTGGTGACACAGTCATTGTTAGGTTAAGGTAAAGGGGCTGCTTGAATGGCTACATGTGGTTGCTAGGGATACATTGCTGATGCAAACTAGGCTGGTAAAAGAAGTGACAGCATTCTTCTGTTAGGCTAGGAACAGAATTTGAGTAAGAGTTGCTCTGTTCTCGGCTGTGTATTATCTTGTATGATTTTGTCAGACTCCTTAAATAAGCCAGTTTCATGGTTAGCTCTTTACAGCCTGCATTGCTTACAGCCTGCTTTGGGTGCAATCATTGGCGTGGTTCCCCACATACTAAATTTGAATATACATCACCCTTTGACAACCCCGTAATTCCAATCTTAGGCATATTACCCTACCGATACATGAGGCATTGTTTACCAAAAGATATGTACCAGAATTTCAGAACTAGACTGTCCTGGTAATATCTTCCATTGGAAACAGTGCAACTGTTTATCAACAGTAAAATGAATAAACAAACGATAGATTCCTACCTTGGGATACAATATAGTCATGAAAACAAACCATAGTTACAGACAGTGGAGTTGTTGAATTTCACAGCCAACATGTTGAGTGAATTCAGATATAAAAGAGGGCCCTCATATGACTACATTCAGTTACATTCAAGAACAGGGAAACTAAGTAACAGTATTGCAGAATGCCTAGTAGTAGAACTTTAAAGAAAGGCAAACCTGTAATAAAAGTCATCATTAGTATTCTAAGAATAAAGGGATTTTTACTGGGAAGCTTAGGAGTATGAGTGGTATTGTAGTTCTTAATCTTGAGTGATGTTTAGAGATTTGCTTTGTAGTAGTTTGTTAAGCCATACACTCTATGCAGTCTTTTTTTGTGGGGGCAGGGGTTGAGACAGGGTCTCACTATGTAGTTGAGACTGACCTGGAACTCACTGTGTAGCCCAGGCTGGTCTTGAACTCACAGCAATCCTCCTGCCTCAGCCTCCCGAGTACTGGGATTACAGGCATGCGCCACCACACCCAGCTCTTCTATACAGTTTTATATATGTTTCATAACAAAAATATTTTAATAAAATGAAAAGTGAGTAATAGAAAAGTGTCGAGGTTAAACCCCATAGAAAGCTATCACAGGGAAAATAACAATAAAGAGTAGAATAACGTATCTGTAGACAAAGCAATCAGAAAACGTGTCCATGAAATGGAAGTGTAATCCACTTCACAACAAGCTAAAAGGTATTAAAAATGTGAGACAGAAAAGGAAAAAAATCAGGATTGGAAAAACTTAGGAAAAAAGGTAAAAAATAAATGAAAAAGAAATTTAGTAATGAAGACTGTTCTAGAAGGAATTTAAATAAACACAATATATAATGCTACCTTAAGAGAAACAGAATAGGGAAATTTAAATTATAAAAGAATCGAAGGTATAAACATACTCAGGTGATAGGGTCCAGTATTAAAATCAGGCAAAGATTGGTGAAAAGCATAGCAAGGGAGTAGAACAGATACTGAAAGTATTCCAGTTACTCATTGAAATAATACATCACTATTTTTGCAGCCACCAATAAGCAGATACAGATATTGAGCATTGATAGCTGCCAAGATTATAAAAAGTTTAACAAGCAGACATGATATGATACGCCTTCTCTAGTTTTGCCTGACCACCTTCACAGTTTTACTAAAGGAAACAGTCTGATCCAATCTCTAGATACGCCAAGTTGCAGAAAATACAGAAGACAGAGCAACATGCAGAACTATCCTGAGTGTGTAGTCAAACTCTAGGCCAGTGGTGGTGAACCCTTCCGTCCACAGCACCGCCTAAATAAATTAATAAAACAACGGCTCATGTGTTCTGGAGTTTAGAGAGCCATTACTTAACCCTTAACCCGTGCCTTCTTCTGTAATCAGTGCTTTATCATTTTCATTAAAAAAAAAAAAAACTCATTAGAAAGCCTATCAGTTTGATTACAGAAACTAATAAAGTATTCTCTAAATAATGAAAAAAAAAAAAGAATAAGACTACAAGAGCTAGAAGCAATTTAAATATGTTAAGGGACCATTTTCATCTTCAGAATTAAGGATTATTTTAATCTTATATCATTGCCTTTTCTCTTTTACTTTCCTTTTTAGTTTTATTTTAGGATTCCCTATTTTTAATGTTCATACAGAGATTTCTTTAACTGAAATACCAAATAGTTTCTCTGGTGTGAAAAACTATAATAGTACACAGGATCCTAATGAGATAATTAATAATGTGAAATAGGAAGTAAAGGGCTAAAGGTGTAGGGAAAGTGGGAAGGGTGGGGGAAAGGTAGTAAGGGAGAGGAAAACAATATGAGAAATTGAAAAAATGGAAATAAAGTGTTTGTAAATGAGGAGGGGAGGAGGGGGTGAAGGGAGGGCAGGGACAAGGGGAAAAATGAGAATCAAGACCTGTCATGTAAAGGTACAGGATCCCAATGATGAATGTAACTGTATTGTATACCTAGATTGTACCAATAAACTCAATAAAAATAAAAAAAAAATAAAAATAAAGCCTGTCAAATTGATACTACGGAAAATTACAGCACTTTTGGAGCAGGATGCTTTCTTGATTCTAAATCCAGAATCATCAGAATTTAGCTTTCCTTTTTATTTAAATTTAGTTTTTCTTAGATCAATTCATCTACATGTTTAAAATCTGGGAATTGTTTATTTATGTCTTCCTACTTCAAAGGAGAGGACCTCATCCGTGGTTTAAAAGTAAAATGGCCACTTTTTTCTTGCCCTTTGTAAAGAGCGCCTAGCCCCAGATAGCTGATTGTTTTGCTGCATGGCATCAACACTTTTTAGAGATGCAAATGAAGGAGCTTTGCCTTTTTATGTTCTGAACACAGCTGAGATGGTCATTTTTTTTACATGTGTGACTTATTTATTTATTTTTTCCTCATTGAGTTTATTGGTACATTTTAGGTATACAGTACAGTTACATTCATCATTGGGATCTTGTATCTTTACATGACAGGTCTTGGTTCTCATTTTTTGAGATAGCCATTTTTTGAGCATGTGTAATTGTGTCTTTTTTTTTTT